TAAATCCCCAGCCTAAATAATGCTATTCTTATAAATTTCCTATGCTCTAAAAATGTCCAATGTCCGTGAGGTGTTGTGACTCAGGGTTATAGTCAATAATTAAAAACTATGAAATAAAAAAAGTAATGTTTAGCTGGGTGTAGTGGTACACGCCTATAATCCTAGCACTCGAGGCAGGAGGATTGTTCGGAGTTCAAGGCCAGCCAGAGCTACAAAGTGAGCTCAAGGCCAGCCTGAACTGCGTAACCAGACCCTGTCTCAAAAAGGCACACACACAAAAAGCAGTGTTTCCTGTGCTCTCATCTGAGCTGGTTCTAGATCCAGAAGACTTTTTAAATTGTGGATTTTTTTCCTCTACTTTTATCTCTCCTTTTGCAATCTGCTCACAGTTATGCTATTATTTTGCCGTTTCAACTACATTAACTCCCCTCTTAAATATCTTCCTAGGCCATTTTTGTTTTGCTTTGGTACTGGGGATTGAACTAAGCATACTGTACCATGGAGCTACATCTCTAGCTGTGAAATACATTTTATATTTATGAACACCACAATTAACTTGTTAGGGCTTTATATTACAATAGTAATTGTAGGAAGATTTAAAAACCTATTTTTTTGGAATTTGTTTTTATGGTATAATTTATGTCTTGAAACACTTTTGTAAAACATTCAATTCAGTGGATTTTAGTATGTTCACAGCAGGGTTGTGGAATATTACTGTGTCAGCTTTCTGTTGTTGTGATAAGTGATAAGATCAACTGAGAGGATAAAAGCTTTATTTTGGATTATGGTTTCAGAGGTTTCAGTCCATAGATTTTGGCTTCTTTGCTTTGGACTTGTAGCAGGGCAGAACATCAGGATGGAAGCATGTTGTAGAGCAATTTGCTTCCATCCTGGCACCTCGGAAGGAGAGAGAAAGGAGAGAGAGGAGAGACAGAGACCTAATATCCCCGCCTGTCGGGCACCCATCCAGTGACCTTCTACTTTTGCTAGCCTCCACCTTTTAAATGATCAGTCCCTGCTCCACAGGGTATGGACCAAGCCTTCAATACATGGCTGGGGGGAGGGGGGCGCATTTAAGATCCAAATGATAATTGCCTCCACCATCTAATTCAAGAACATTTTCATTACTCCAGAAGAAATCTCATACCATTAGCAGTAAGTCCCCATTGTTCCTTACCCCAGCGCCTGGCAACTGCTAGTCTACTTTTTGTGGATTTGCCTATCCTGGACATTTTATATAAATGGGTAACATAATATGGAACATTTTGTATCTGGTTTCTTTTACTTACCGTAATGTTTTCAAGGGTTATCCATGCTAGTGTGTGTCAGTACTCCATTCCTTTCATTGCTAATAATACTCCATTGTAGGAATATATCACTTTTATTTATCCATTCATCAGTTGATGGATATTCGGCTATTATGAAAATGTGCTATGAACATATGTGTACAATTTTTGTTTTCATTTCAACATGTTTTCATTTCTCTTGGGTGTATACAGATATACCTAGGGGTAAAACTTCTGGGTCATATGTTTTAGCTTTTGTTTAACTTTTTAAGGGACTGCTAAACTGTTTTCCAAAGTGGATGTGCTATTTTGTAGTCCACCAGCAATATACACGTATTTCAATTTCTCCAAGTCCTATTACTTTTATTTTATACAGGGTCTTGCTGACCTTGAACTCACTACATATCCCAGGCTGGCCTCAAATTTGTGGTGATCCTCCTGCCTCCTCCTCCCAAGTGCTGGGTAACAGGCATGCACTACCATGCCCACCTATTATTTTCTTTTTCACTATAGCTACTGAAGTGCATATAAAATTATATATAATTGTAATTTTTTTGAGACAGGGTCTCACTATATAGTTCAGGCTGGCCTTGAACTCACTGTGTAGCCAAACTCACTGCAATCCTGCTGCCTCAGCCTCCCACGTGCTGGATAATTGTGATTTTGATTTGAATTGTATCTATTTTCATGTGCTTACTATTGACCACTTGGAGAACATCCATTTAAATCTTTTTGCCCATTTTAAAATCAGGTTGTCTTTTTTTTTTTTTTTTTTTTTTTGTCTTTTTGAGACAGGTTTCGCTGTGCAGTTCAGGTTGGGCTTGAGCTCACTTTGTAGCCCAGGCTGGTCTCAAACTCACAATGATGGGGCTGGGGATTTAGCACAGGGGCACAGCGCCTGCCTGGCAAGCGTGAGGTTGTGAATTCGATTCCCAGTACCAGAAAAAAACAAAAACAAACAAACAATCAAACTCACAATGATCCTCCTTCCTCAGCCTCCCAAGTGCTGGGATTACAGGCGTGCCCCACCATGCCTGGCCCAGGTTATCTTTTTATGACTGTGTTGCAATGTTTTTTTATGGAATCTGGATACTAGACCTTCGTCAGATGTGGTTTACAAACTTTTACTGTGTGCTATATGTATTCACTTTGTTGATATTCTTTGTCTTTTTGAGACAAGGTCTCACTATGTAATTTAGGCTGGCCTTGAACTCGACACGATCCTCCTGCCTCAGCCTCATGAGAGCTGGGATTATAGGCATATCCCATCATGTGTAGCTTCTTGATATTCTTTGAAGCACCGAAGTTTTTTATTTATATGAAGTCCAATTTATTTTTCTTTGGTTATTTGTGATTTGAGTGTCATATCTAAGAAACTAGGCCTTAGATATTAAAATTTTCACCTGTTATTTCTTCTAAGAGTTTCACAATTTTGGCTCTTATATTTAGATCTTTGATCCATTCTCAGTTTTGTATATGGTATGAAGCAGGAGAGTTTAACTTGTTTTTGCATGTGGTTGTCCAGCTTTGCCAGCACCATTGAATTCTCTTCATATCCTTGTTTAAAATCAATTATCCAGCCAGGGGTACTGGTGCACACCTGTAATCCCAGAAATGGCGAGGCTGAGGCAGGATGATCATTGAGTTCGAGGCTAGCCTGAGCTACATAGTGAGGTAAAGACCAGCCTGAACTACATGGTGAGACCCTGTTTCAAAAAATGAAATAAAATAAAATAAGAGGAAATAAAATAAAATAAAATAAAAACCAATTGCCCGGGGGCTGGGAATTTAGCTCAGCAGCAAAGCGCCTGCCTGGCAAGTGCAAGGTCGTGAGTTTGATTCCTGGTACCGGAAGAAAAACAAAAAACAAACAAACAAACAAAATCAATTGCACATAAATATATGTTTTCTTTCTGGGCTCACAGTTCTATTCCATTGACCTATATGTTTATGCTTATGTCAGATTCCTACAATTTTGGTAAGAATCTTACATACTTTTAAAAATTTTTGTTTTTTTGTTTTTGTCTTTTTGAGACAGGGTCTCACTATGCAGTTCAGGCTGGCCTGGAGCTCACTTATGTAGCCCAGGCTGGTCTCAGACTCGCAACGATCCTCCTGCCTCAGCCTCCTGAGTGCTGGGATAACAGGTGTGCATCACCACGCCCAGCCTAAGAATATTATATTTTAAAAGGCACAGTTTAAGCTTTTGAATTTATACTAAAAACCTAGAGCTACTAGTCTTTATTCTTTCAAATTCACTTAAGGAAAAATGGAATTTTTAGGATTATTATAATGATGATAAATGCTATTTATACAACTAAAACTTTGCAAACTCTCTTGATCAATATATACTGACTCCAAAGCAAGAGTAGTGATTTAATGCAGTTTCTTTGTATTTACTGATAAACCCAATACACACAAATTAAATGTAAGACCAGGAAACAATTTTTTAAATATTGTTTTGTTTTTTGAGATGGGGGACTCGCTATGCAGTTCAGGCTGGCCTTGAACTCACTTTGTAGCCCAGGCTAACCAACCTGCAATGATCCTCCTGCCTCAGCCTCCCAAGTGTTGGGACTACAGGCTAGTGCCACCACACCAGGCCCAGGAAACAAATTAAATGTAAGACTAAAATGCAAATTATATGGGCATATGCAAAATATAAAATATCGTCTCAAGATCTGGGTTCAAGATCTGAATTTGACACTGCTGCTGGTCCTGGATTGGTCACTTCACTTTTTTTTCTGTAAAAATTGATAAGGATTTCTGATCTACAGCTGCTTCACAGACATATAGTAAGCCTCAAATTGAGGTAATGTGCTTATAAGTGCTTTGTAGCATGCAAAATGACACACAGATGTTTAGTATTTGTATAGAGTCCTAACTAACAATATTGAATAGTGCTCTGAAGAACTGTTCTGTAGGTGCTATAGAAAACCATCTTGATTTCTCCCGTAGGCCTGGGAAGATAGCCAGAGTTGTTCCTATTCCATTTCATTTTCTTTAGCCTGAACTGTCTGAAACTTTCTTTTTTTTTTTTTTTTTTTTGCCTGTTTTGAGACAAGGTCTGGCTATTTAGTTCAGGCTGGCCTTGAGCTCACTTTGTAGCCCAGGCTGGTCTTGAACTCGGAACGATCCTCCTGCCTCAGCATCCCAAGTGCTGGCATTATAGGGTGTGCCACAACGCCCGGTCAAAATGTGTGCATATCTTAAGAATTATTTTTTGTTTCGTTTTTTTTCTTTTTGAGACAGGGTCTCCCTGTGCAGTTCAGGTTGGCCTTGAGCTCACTTTGTAGCCCAGGCTGGCCTCAAACTCACAGTGATCCTCCTGCCTCAGCTTCCCTGCCTCAGCTTCCTAAGTGCTGGGATTACAGGCGTGCGCCTCCACACTGGGCTCTTATTTCTAAAGATTAATGCAGCAGATATCTCCATCCCCATCATCCTCCCTTCTTTCTCTTACACAATGTGTAGTACTTTACTTTTATTGCAGGTGTCAGCAAAATTTTTCTATGAGGCGCCAGACAGTACGTAAATATTTTAGGGTTTGTAGGCCACAGAAGGTGACTGTCACATTACTCCCCCCCTTTCCTAACCCTTTAACAATGTATATTTGTTTCGGGTTTTTTGTTTGTTTTTCTTAGAAAGGGTTTCTCTATGTAGTTCAGACTGACCTTGAACTCACTATTCCCAACCCTTTAACAATGTATGTTTGTTTTGGTCTTTGTGTGTTTGTTTTTAAAACAGGGTCTATGTAGTTCAGACTGACCTTGAACTCACTATTCCCAACCCTTTAACAATGTATGTTTGTTTTGGTCTTTGTGTGTTTGTTTTTAAAACAGGGTCTATGTAGTTCAGACTGACCTTGAACTCAAAATGTAGCCCTGGTGGCCTCAATATATTGCCCTGTGGCCTCAAACTTTCAACAATCCTCCTGCCTCAGCCTTCTGAGTGCTGCGATTACAGGCATGCGCCCCCTAACAATGTAAAAACCAGGTGTGGTGGTGCACACCTGTAATCCCAGCACTCATGAGGCTGAGGCAGGAGGGTCACCATGAGTATTAAACCAGCCTGCACTACATAAGCAAGTTCAAGGCCAGTCTGTACCACATAGTGAGATCCTGGCTCAAAAGCAAACAACAAATAAGAAAAACAAAAACAAACAATATAAAAGCCATTCTTAACTGGATGAGCTGTGTAATAAAAACAGGCCTGACTGATTTGAGCCTTCAGGCCTGTTACTGAGAGATTTATTTCACTGGGTTCAAACACTATATCAAGATTTAGCTATAGCCATTTGGGGCTGGGGGTATAGCTCAGTGGCACAAGTGCCTACTTTACAAGCATGAGGTCCTGAGTTCAATTCCCAGTGCCAACAAAAAAAAAAGGCAAAACAAAGTTATAGCCATTAGTTATAAAAATTTAAACAAACAAAAGAGTACAGGGTTAATCAAAGAAATGTTGAAATTTTTCTCCTAAAGCAAAACAGGATTTTTAAGCAAAACAGTCTCAATCTGTTTTTGGTTTTCCTTAATTATGTTTAGCTTCTGAATGAAACCAGTCTTTTTAGCCAGGGATAGAGATACTGCCTCTCTTCTCCTCCTCCCAGATGGTGATTGGATAATTGGTTGGTTGTGTTACAATTCACAGTTGACACAGAATCTAAATAATTAGACAGGTAGGTTTTGCAGAAACCTAGGACACAAGTAATGACTGTTGAATCGACTCCTAAGTAGGAAGCAATTTTTATAAATTAATTGCATCATTAGAATGTGGATTAATGACATTTTTTAGTTTATTTTTATTTCCATGGCTTGAACAAGATTGCTATAATGTCAAGGGCATGGGGAAATAGAAACTCTCATACTTCAGCGTCAGCGGTGCAAATTGGTGCTTCCTCTTTGAAAGGTGATTTGGCAGCATCTATTAAAATAAAAAAAAAAATGTGTCTATCCTTTGACACAGTTCTGTTTCTGGGAATTTACCCAATAAATATAAGTCATGCTGGCAAATATCTAGTTACTGCAGCATTGTTCAGATAGGCAAAACACTGGAAATAACCTAAAAGGCTCTGCTTTAAAGTTAAGGTACACATATACAACGGAATATTATGTAACCCTTTAAAGGAATGATAATTATTGATAACTACTGATATGGGATAGTCTCCAGGATATACATCATAAAGCAAGTTATACTAAAGTATATCTAGTATGCTACTATATGTGTAAAAAAAAAAACCCACGCAAACTGGGCATGGTGGCACACACCTGTCATTCCAGCACTTGGGAGGCTGAGGCAGGAGGATCACAATGAGTTCAAGACCAGTCTGAGCTATATAGTCAATTCCAGGCCAGCCTGAACTACACAGTGAGACCCTGTCTCAAAAAACAAAAACAAAACAAAACATGCAAATGGTTCTATATGCAGAGAATGTCACTGGAAAGATATTAGTAGCACTCAACATAATCTGTTGATGCCAGCTGTGGTTGCACATGCCTGTAATCCCAGCACTCAGGAGGCTGAGGCAAGAGAGGGTCACTGAGAGTTTGAGGCCAGCTAGGGCTTTGTAGTGAGTTGAAGGCTAGACTGAACTACACAGTGAGACCCTGTCTCAAAAAAAAAAAAAAAAAAATTGTTGACTACTGTTCTAAAAACGTTAGTAAACTAAGACATTTAATCACAAATTTATCGAGGTAGGTGATAATTCTTCTCCTTTTATAGACTAGGTAACTTCCACAAAACCCCAAGAACCTGGTAACAGTGGTTACTTCTACAAAGGGGGACTGTAAGACTAAGGTGCAGAGTAGAAAGACTTATTTTCATTGTATATCATTCTCAGTTCTGTGTAGTTTGCCATGTTTACGCACTGCTTCAAAAATTTTAAAGTTAAATCACCATATTTTTTTCATCCATTCATCCTACGATGAACAGTTGGATTGCTTCCACCTTTTGGCTAGCGACTATGAACATTTTAAAACATACTTAAAGGTAAAGGAAATAGTACAATAGCCATCATCTGTTAATCAAGCCTCACTTTTTTTTAATGGTATGATTTTACTGCAGAATAACATCATTTTTATATGCAGCACTTACTGAAAGAAAAACCCACATTTTAAAGAAACCACATACTGTGTATTGAGTTGCCAAAACCTGATTTTATTTCAAAATGCTGCAAAAGGAAATACAGTATTGGTATTCATAAAAATCTCTCACCGTAACGCGTGGCGTCCCTACCTGTCCGGTGACTTCCCCAGGACAATTAAGCTCATCACAATTTTGCTTTCAGCAGATGCAGCCTCTACAGCAGGGGGCAGGATTACCTTCTCCTGGAAGCGGAGTCTAGGAAGCCCTTGCCAATGGTTTAAACCGAGCAAATGGTTTTCAAGTTAAAAACAAAGATAATCAAATGAAAAGTTTCTGAATACGGAGATACCTGGAGAAAATTGCCAGAGAAGGTGGTGCAGAAGAAACATGACTGAATTTAAGTACAGAGGCCGAAGAGATTGTGTTTGAAAGGGTCATCAGGACTGGGCTTTAACAATGGGGCAAAGGAATCGGCGGCAGCGGATGGAAACGGAGACAGCGAGTGCGGAGTCGCACCTCTGCCAGGCAGGGATCGAGACCTGCGGGTCTCTCTATAAGGAGGGAACAACAACCAGACGCAGGGGAAAGCCGCCGAGGGCGAAGGGAGAGGCAAGACAGGGACGGGAGGAAATTTCAACGAGGAACTGCGGAGGTGTAAGAGGCAGATCTGCAGGCAGGTTTTTCACGGGCTAGGACAATCTGGGAGAAAGGTACGAAGCACGGAGTCGGAGAACTGGCCGCCGCCGCCCACATCACCGAACCCAGGGTCGAAGCCGGGGCGCGCCCCAGCGGGTGACTCAGAAGTGTCACAGGGTCCACGTCAAATGCGGCGCCTCCGCCGCGGGAAATAGTCCCTGGCCCTGCGGACTCCGAAGGGAGCCGAGCGTGGGAACGGCGCAGTCCTCGGAACTTGTGTCCCGGCAGTGGCGGGAGCGCAGCCAATCCCTTGCGAGGGAGGGCGTGGCTAACTTGACCCGCGGATCCTTCCGCTCGCGCTGGCCGCGCTGAGGCCGGGGAAGCCGCCATTTTGGATGCTTGGCGGCGTTGCGGAAGTCGGACTTGGAGGTTTTCGCTCTTGAATTCGGTCAGGTGAGGGTGGCCGTCCCAGCCTCAGGGGTCCTCTTCTTAGTCTGCGCTCAGCGTCCTGAAGTCGGTAGTCCCCAGCCGGGGTTCAGACGACACTGGGGGTGGTGGAGGAAGAGCAGAGGAAGCTTCGGAAATGCGGTCACGCTGGAAGTCGGGCCTGCGGGCAGCGGCGGAGGGACCCGGGCTGGGGAGGGGGCGTGGCGCGCGCTGGGCCCGGACCCGAGCCGCGGATCGCGTGGTCCTTCCTGCCCCGGGTGTCGCCTTCTCGAGGCGCAGACGCCGCGGCCCGGGCCCGGGCCCCCCTCCCCGTGTTGCGGCGCCCCGCCGCGTCCCCCGGGCCCGGAAGCGCCCCTGCGGGCTCGGCGAGCGCCCCCAACCCAGGCGGCCTGTGCGGGCCGGTGGTCGCCCGAGCCTATTCCCGGGGCCCCTAGATGCGCCTCCCCTCTTTGGTCGGAGAAGCCGCCTCTTCTCTCGGCAGCCAGCAGCGGCTCCTGCCCCGATCGCAGACCCCGATCGCAGACCCTGACCACCGGGGGCCTCTGGGGGAGCCCGCGCCCCGCGGTTGCCCTCCTCTTTGTGCTCTCCGCGTCTGTCTTCCGGGGTGACGCCTTGAGACGCGCCGGCGTAAACTTTAAGGACGATCAAGACCCAAGTGCTTTCGTTTAATAATTAGGTAATAGGACTGTAGGGTCACCGCGAAGACACGGCCACTTTCTCTCTGCTCCTAAGCGAAAAACGTCTGGCCTTAAACGTCCTTTTGGGGGGCTGGTAATGTTCTTTTTGGTTTTGTTGGTTGTGCTTATGTAGTTCTCTTTGACTTTTTGTTTTGGGAAACGTTAAGTACACAAAAGTGAAGAAACCGTCGCTCTTGGCCAGTCTTGTATTCTCTATACTTACCTATTTGTCATCTTAATAAATAATTAATACGTTCGTTTACCAGAAACTCTTGTGAATCTCATCTGGAATAGAAAGACTTGGTAATAGTTGTTAGAGGATAAGAATGTCTTGAAATAATATGAGTGTTACATTTTTAAATCAGTTTAAGTCTCATTTTAAAGTGTTATTAAGTGCTATATAGGAGTGCATGGCTGTAATCCCAGCACTTGGAAGGCTGAGGCAGGAGGATGCCAAGTTCAAGGCCAGCCTGGATTGCTTCAGGAGACCCAGGCTCAGAAGGCCAAAAAAAAAGTGTTACTGTCCAAATTATTTTTCATTTTCTGTCATTGCCTCCTGCTTCTAAAAGAGTGAAGCTTCAGATCTAGTCTACTTAATTTCTCATTCTTATAAAATAACCAGAATCTCAATTACATGGAACCTATTCTGATTTTAAAATAAAACTGGAAAACAAGCCAAGTGTGGTGGTGCATACTTGTAATTCCATTACTTGAGAGGCTGAGGCAGGAGGATCCTTTGTGAGTTCAAGGCTATGAACTACATAGCAAGACCTTGTCTCAAACTAAAACAAAAAACAACAACGAAAAAAACCCCTAGAAAACAAAATGTAGTCTAAATCATTTCAGATACAGGAACAGTAAAATGCATGGGTTTATTTCAGCATTGTTGATATAAATGTCAAATAGGAAGCTAAGAAGAAAATAGTTACACAGTGGGATTTTAGGCAGCCACTAAAATCACGTTTTTGTAACCTGATATAATATTAGGTGATAAAAGAATTTAGTTTTTTGGGTTTTTTTTCCGGTACCGGGAATCAAGCTCACGACCTCACGCTTGCTAGGCAGGCGCTGTGCCACTAAACTAAGTCCCCAGCCCCCGATAAAAAAATTTAATAGTGTTCTTAGTCCGGGGGTACAACTTCATAAAGATATGCCTTAAGAACTCTTGGTAAACCGGGCATGGTGGTGCATGCCTGTAATTGGGGTGACATATAGATAGAAACCATAACAGGGTCTGACTGAATAATGAGGATACCTAGGTTAGTCTCAGACTTGAGATTGTCCTGCCTCAGCCTCCCAGAGTAGTAAGATTACCAATGTGTGCCCCCAAACAGGGATTGAAGCCTGTACTTTCTCATGAATTACTCATGATGCTGTTGATGTTTTAGTTCTTACTGTATTAAAATGTCAGTCTTAATGGTCAGGAAAGCTCTGAACACAGCTTATTGTGAAAGCACAGTGAACTTCCTGGCAATTTGTACAGAAAATGCTTTTAAGAGAATTGAACTATATTATCTTGAGAATGTATTCTAGCTCCACAGTGTTTTATCTTTCTAGTACTATTTTGTGATTTTTGTAGCTGCAGTAGTGATCCCTAAATGTGTGTATGTCATTTGTTTTGTCAAAGAAATGTTGAGAAAAACAAGTTTTTGTATATATTGCAAAATGTCTCTCGCCATTGCTGACTCTGCTGTCTCCCTTTTCTCTTCATACTTTTGGAGCTACAGACCCTGAAGCTGAGAGTAAAATTTTTTTCCCCTAGTAGTAGAATTTGGACTCAGGGCCTCACATTTGTCATCATCCCCAAATCACCCATCCATCCATCCATCCATCCATCTGTCTATCTGTCTATTTATTTATTTTTGGTCTTTTTGAGGCAGGGTCTCGCTATGTAGTTCAGGTTGGCCTTAAGCTCATTTTGTAGCCCAAGCTGGTCTCAAACTCACAACAATCCTCCTGCCTCAGCTTCCTGAGTAATGGAATCACAGGAGTGTGCCACCACACCCAGCTTAGAATTTTTTTAATTTAAGTTGTTTTCCCTAAAATTTATATTCCTTCTCATACAAAGTACAGCGTGTGTTAGCTTTGGAAAAACAGATTCAAATTCTAAAGTAAGCCACTCGTATGTGTTAAAGTAGTTTGGAGACTCATTTATTTCATATGTTGGTAATTAGTACCTGTTTCTGGTTACTGTCTAGGTTCATGTCACTGTCTTTAATGATTAGTGTTTGTTGTAAATAGAAACCTATTGAAGAGGAGTTGAAAATCCTCAATACCAAAATAGTGCAGCAAATTATTTTCCATTCCTTAAATGTAAAAAAAAAATAGATTATATAGAATTTTAAGTGTTATATTTTAAATATTTTCATACTGTTATAAATTAATTAACATAAAAATGAGTCACAATTTTGGTAGGCAGTATGAAATTAACACTGGCACATAAGTAGTTAAGGCTGGGGATCTAGCTCAGTGGTAGAGCTCTTGCCTACCATGCTTTAGACCCCAAGTTCAATCTCTAGTATCACCAAAAAGAACAAAAGAATTGAGGTCCTCCAATGAGACTGAAACAGGTTAACCAGAAATGTTAGGGGCTGGGTGTATTGCTCAGTGATAGAGGGGTTGCCTAGCATGCTTGAGGTGTCCCAGGCTGAGTACCCATCACTGACCCCCTCCAAAAGGCAGGAGTAAAAAGATACAGAAGCATACTGTAACATTTCATTTTAATCTAAAAGACAGGTGTGGGAAAAGGACTGTGACTGCTAATGGATTGATTACTGATGGTCAGGTTATGATCCCCTGCTGAACTGAGTAAACGCGGTGCTGGGTGTGGGAGGCCTGCCTGAGGATTGTTACCATCAGCTGAGAGGCAGAATTGGAAAGGGATAATGAATTTCTCCTGTTGGTTTTAGTTACTTTCTTTGTTCTAATAAAAGGTGATTGAGATGAGTGATAGGGGGCCAAGAGACTGTAAGCCCCCTGATCCCAGGTTTTTAGCTCTCTTGTTTTTCTTGTCTCTTTTACCTTTTCTTACTCATCTGTGGGCACCTCATTCTAGGGACCTGTTGTTATAGTTAATACCAACAGACGGGGAGCTGGATGTGGTGGTGCATGTTTGTAATTCCACCACTTGGGAGGCTGAGGCAGGAGGACTGTCAAAAGTTCAAGACCAGCCTGAGCTACATAGTGAGACCCTGTCTCAAGAAAAACAAACAAACAAAAAAACACATGGGTAAAGTCTATTAATTGTTTTTGTGGTACTGGTAATTAAACCCCAGGGTTTAGTGCTGAGCTGTATCCCCAGCTCTTTTTATTTTGCGACCAGGTCTTGCTTGGTTGCCTGGATTGGGGGCACAGCTCAATCTGTGGTCTTGCTGTATTTTCCAAGATGACCCTGAATTTACAATCCTTCTGCCTCAGCCTCCCGAATAGCTGGGATTACAGGAGTCTATCTAGCTGTGCCTGGATTTTTTTTTGGAATAGTTTTTACATTTTAGATTCAGTTTTTGTCATAGTGCAGTTTTATTTTCTACTTATGTTGATTTTACTGAATTTTTTTCTGAGGAATTTGTCCATTTTGTCTCATTGAATTTGTGGCTGTAAATTGGACCTTTATAGTATGTGTGTAGAGCTGGGGAGATAGCTCAGCGGCACAGCACCTGCCTGGTAAGCTTAAGGTCCCGAGTTTTATTCCCAGTACCAAAAAAAGAAAAAAAGTATGTGTGTAGAATCTGTACTGATACTTTTTCAGTCCTGTCACTGAGAATGTGATTTTCCTCTGTGTGTGTGTGTGTGTGTGTGTGTGTGTGAGAGAGAGAGAGAGAGAGAGAGAGAGAGAGAGAGAGAGAGAGACACAGGTGTCTGTTTTTTATCTTGAAGAAACCAACATTTGATTTCATTCATTTTCTTGTTTTTTCCTCTATTTGCATTGATTCTTTTGTTTTCCTGCTTGTTGTTGGTTAATTTTGCTTGGTTTCTGGTTCCTAAAGGTGAAATGTTAGGTTACTAATTGGAGGCCTTTTATAAGCCTTGGTGTTAGTGTCCACCTAAACACATCTTTGGCTGCATCCCACTGATTTTTCCCTCCCTCACTCTTTCTTTGTCTTTTTGAGACAGCATCTTGCTATGCAGTTCAGGCTGGCCTTGAATTTGCTGGCCTTGAATTTGCTTTGTAGCCTAGGCTGGCCTCGAACTTGCAAAGATCCTCCTACCTCAGCTTCCTGAGTGCTGGGATTACAGCATGAGCCACCATGCCCGGCCCTCCCTCTTGGTAGTATTGGAGATCTAATCCAGTACACTAACAGTGAGCTATATCTATCTCCAGGTCTCCTT